AATATTTAAAATTAATTATTCTTATAAATTTAAAACTTGAATTCGATATTCTAAAATTTAAAGATCACGTATAATACTAATTAACTCAATAAATATTAATAATTTTTAAATATTTTTATTAAATAAAATATAAAGAAATAGAATGTTTCACTAATAATATATAAAAAAGATATACATGTTTGTTTTTTTAAAACATCTATTCTCATATTATATATTAAAAAAATAACTATTTATCTTTTTCACTAGTATATTTAATATACATTTAACTTATTATAATTTATTGTTAAAATATTTTATTCACCACGATCGAAAACACTCTGGATCAGTGTTGCAATCTGGATCCGATTCGGAATTTTTGAATAAAATGGGGTGCATATTTGGTTTGTTTGTGCAGGAGCAGAAACAAGTAAACGTCTCATAAACCCTCGTCCTCTTCCTAATTCTAGGTCGGAGTGCCAGTCTGACACAACACAAATCACAAACAGATTGAGGCATCATCGCATAAAAATATGGGAATAAAAATAAAATGACCAGTTATTAAAATGAGACATCTCAAGTCAAATCTCCTTTCTCCAAGAGTAACATCATTATTACATATGGGAATAAAATGAGCCGTGTTAATTGATCAAAGAGGAAAATTTGTTGAGAAAGAGGAATGCAAAAAAGTGAAACATGTGGAGCTAAGAATCAGAAGGCACAGAAGGTTTGATGCACGTGGCAATTGGAGTGAAATGTTTGCAGTTGAAGAGTAGAGAGAAATGAAGGTGAAGCACTACTCCGTGCAGCGTTTGAACTCCCTCCTTTGCAAGTACTCGAGCCAAGGATTGCCGGAAAGTGTCCTGTACTGCTATGCTTCTTTTATCAACTCAGGCCATTCGCCCGACCAATTCACTTACGCTATCACTCTGTCTGCCTCTGCAAAAGTGCAGAATGTTGAGTTGGGTAGGGCAGTTCACTGCTGTGTTATTAAGAGGGGCCTTCAATCCACCTCCTTCTGTCAGGGCGCTCTTATCCATCTCTACGCCAAATGCAACTCTCTCACCTCTGCTCGCACCATATTTGATGCTGCACCCTGCCCCCACCTCCACACTGTCTCTTGGACCGCTTTACTCTCTGGTTATGTTCAAGCCGGCATGCCCGAGGAGGCACTCCACATATTTGACCGAATGCGCAACTTCGACGCTTATCCAATCCCAGACCCAGTGGCGCTTGTCACCGTCTTAAACACTTACATTTCCTTAGGAAAGCTTCATGATGCATGCCAATTGTTTGAACAAATGCCGCTCCCCAACCGCAATGTTGTCGCATGGAATGTCATGATATCTGGTTATGCCAAGAGAGGCCATTATAAGGAGGCTCTTGCCTTTTTTCATCAAATGAGTAAGCATGGGGTTAAATCCTCAAGATCCACGCTCGCTAGTGTTTTAAGCGCCATTGCCAGCTTAGCCTCCCTAGATCATGGCTTGCTACTTCATGCACGTGCTATCAAGCAAGGTTTTGAGTCCAGCTTATATGTTGCAAGTTCCTTGATCAATATGTATGGCAAGTGTGAAATGCTGCATGCTGCCCGCCAAGTCTTTGATGCTATATCTCGGAAAAATATGATTGTATGGAACGCCATGCTTGGAGTTTATTCTCAGAATGGCTATTTAAGTAAAGTCATGGAGTTGTTCTTGGATATGACTACATGTGGCATTCATCCGGATGAATTTACCTACACTAGCATTTTGAGCTCATGTGCGTGCTTTGAATACCTAGAAATAGGTCGCCAGTTGCATTCAACTATTATCAAGAAAAGATATACCTCCAATTTATGTGTCAACAATGCATTGATAGATATGTATGCTAAGGCCGGGTCTTTGAAGGAAGCCACCAAACAGTTTGAGCACATGACACACCGAGATCATATTTCCTGGAATGCCATTATTGTTGGATACGTGCAAGAAGAAGAGGAGGCTGGTGCTTTTGCTTTGTTTTGGAGAATGAATTCACATGGTGTTGTACCTGACGAGGTATCTATCGCCAGTATACTTAGTGCTTGTGGAAATACTAAGGTGCTACAAACAGGACAGCAGTTTCATTGCTTGTCAGTTAAGTTGGGTCTAGAAACAAACCTTTTTTCTGGAACTTCTCTTATTGACATGTATTCCAAATGTGGGGCCATTGAAGATGCACGTAAAATTTATTCTAGCATGCCTGAGCGAAGTGTGGTCTCCATGAATGCTCTGATTGCAGGATATGCTCTAAAAAACACAAAAGAAGCTATTAATCTTCTTCATGAGATGCATATATTGGGACTGAAGCCATCTGAGATTACATTTGCAAGCCTCATAGATGTTTGTAGGGGATCTCCCATGGTAATTTTGGGCATGCAGATCCATTGTGCTATAGTGAAGAGGGGTCTTTTATGTGGTAGCGAATTCTTAGGGACCTCTTTGTTGGGCATGTATATGGATTCACAAAGGCTTGCAGATGCAAACCTTCTTTTCTCAGAGTTTTCTAACCTTAAAAGCACTGTAATGTGGACCGCTTTAATTTCAGGACATACTCAAAATGAGTGCAGTGATGTGGCCTTAAACTTATATCGAGAAATGCTTGACAACAATATCTTACCTGACCAAGCAACGTTTGTTACTGTTCTTCGTGCTTGTGCTCTCTTATCCTCGTTGCATGATGGTAGAGAGATACATTCTCTAATTTTTCATACTGGTTTTGACACAGATGAGTTAACCAACAGTGCCCTTATAGACATGTATGCAAAATGCGGGGATGTAAAAAGTGCTGCTCAAGCTTTTGAAGAATTGGCTATTAAAAAGGATGTGATTTCTTGGAATTCAATGATAGTTGGATTTGCCAAAAATGGTTATGCAGAAAGTGTCCTGAGGGTCTTTGATAAGATGACTCAATCGTGCATCAACCCTGATGATGTGACATTCCTTGGAGTGCTTACCGCTTGTAGCCATGCAGGGTGGGTTTACGAGGGTCGTCAAATTTTTGACATCATGGTAAACTATTATGGCATTGAGCCCAAAGTAGATCATTATGCTTGCATGGTTGATCTTCTTGGTAGGTGGGGTTTTCTCAAAGAAGCTGAAGAGTTCATTGACAAACTAGAAGTTGAACCCAATGCTATGATTTGGGCCAATTTATTGGGTGCTTGCAGAATACACGGGGATGAAAAAAGGGGACAAAGGGCTGCTAGGGAACTTATTAAGTTAGAACCCCAAAATTCGTCTCCTTATGTATTGCTTTCTAATATGTATGCTGCATCAGGACATTGGGATGAAGCAAGATCTTTGAGGAGAACAATGATAAAAAAAGACATCCAAAAGATGCCGGGGTGTAGCTGGATTGTAGTGGAGCGAAAGACAAACCTATTTGTTGCGGGTGATATATCGCATCCTAGTTATGATGAAATTTCACAAGCTTTAAAACATCTGACAGCACTAACTAAAGACAACAGATTCCAGGACGATGGAATTTCCCGGGTTGGCCAAATTTAGTTAATCAATATGATCGGAAGTCATGTGATCAACTTAGATTTGTTTCCCGACATAAAAGAACCTTGCACATATATCTTATGAGGGATGGGGGAAATGAAAAGTGGCGGGGAAGATGGATATAAGTATAACTCTTCCTTTGTTTTATTTTTAAAATGTATCTTATGATTTTTAACCATATTTTTTTCTCCAGAGAATACAGTTGGGTTTGTGCTAAATATATGAATTTGATAAATTTTAATAATATACTTCCTACCAATCTAGAATATTAGTTAAATTTATCAAAGATCACAAAATTTTTGTGGGTCTCCACTTCTTATTTAATGAGTTTTAATTAATAATATATAATTTCTAATAAATTTTAACTAGGGGGTGTCAATTATACACTTTTTACTATCCGTTAAAATTGATTGAAACTACAAAATTATGAGTGAAGTTCATTGCCTCTCAAGTTTTTAAGAATAAATGAACATGATTATATATGCAATTATCTTTATATGGTTAATAATGTCATGCAAAAGTTTTAATGTCTAATAGTGATTAACTTCAACTCGTAAGTGGTAAATATTTTAATGTCTAATAGAGATCAAAATTAGAATATTGCACCATGATAGTATAGAATTCTAGGAGAAGAAACTACTCAAAGAATTGTAAGAACTAGGGACTCCAATGATAGAATGGAACTCGAAAGTTGCATTGAATTAAGAAAGAATTGAGAAATATTTACAGATGAATCTGAATACCTCAACTCAGAATTACACTTTCCTACTTACAGCTATCAACTAATAATTGCCTCTAACAACTTCTAATAACATAAATTTAACCATACAGATCAACAATAACAAAAATAACAGAATTTTCAACTATACAAAGTCCTATATCAGTACCCCTACCTTAACAAAATCCTTGTCCTCAAGGGTTAAAATCTGGATACTTTTTCTTGAGATCATAGAAGAACTCCCAAGTAGCTTCTTCAGGTAATTGATGCTTCCATTTAACTAAGACCTTGGTAACAGCTTTGTTGCCTCTCTTCACATTCATTCTGTCAAGAATTGACTCTAGTTCCCTCAGAAGGAGGGATTTCTCAGCACATGGACCAATTCCTTTGTTGGACCTTGGGATCCATCCCAGGGTTTGCATAATCCTGGTAGATTGTTGACTTAGTGATTTGTGGTCATTTGTGATTTTTTGTCCTTTAATAGGAAGGAAAGGTTGGAAGTGATACCCTTTTTTTTAGTTACCTAACACTTTGTCTGGAGTGGGAGGGGGAAATAAGAAGAGAGGAATAAAATGAAAAGAAATGAAGAGAAAAAAATTAATTTCCTCTTTAAATTTTTTTATATAATTTGTGTATCTATACGTCTGGTACTCTATGCTAGTGAATGTTAGTCTTAAGGGACAACAAGAGAAAAATGTGAGAGTAGCATAAATAAGAATGTTAAGATGGATGAGTAGCTACACAAGAAAGGACAAGATGCGAAATGATTGTATATGAAGAGTTATTGATGTTGTACCGATTGAGGAAAAGATGACAAAAAATTGATTAAAGTGGTTTGCATATGTACAAAAAGATCATTGGAATCACTAGTGAGGAGACTAAATCACATGGTTTTTAGTCATGTGTAAAGGAGAGAGAGACCAACAAATATGTTAGAGGATGTTATTAAGAAAGATCTCATGGTAAATAATATGTCTGGAGATTTGGTCTTTAATCGAGCTAAATGATGTTTATGATCCATATAGTTGACCTCACCTATTGGGCAAGGCTTTGTTGTTGTTTTGAATTTTGATATAAAGAAAACATGAGAAGAAAGAATAAAACCATATTAAATACTTAACGGACATTTGAATCCTTACAATGTAACAAAATATAAATATAAATGAAATAAGGATATATCTGTCATTTTGATACATTTCTTTTGTCTCAATGTGTTTTCTTTCCTATCATGAGGTGAAAATATTTAACATGGGATTGACCCTTGTTTTTTCTTTGTTTCATGTTTTCTAGCTATTCCAGAAAGAAAAAAATGCATTATAAACTAATAAACTGTTTTCTCTCTCATTATGTTTTCGTCAATTGTTCAATCGTTTCAAATTATTACTAAATTTATGTCTTCTATATTAAACATGCAGACAAAAAGATAAAGTTGTGGCTTTTTCTTTTGGGGCGTCATTCATCAGTTGTTGAGACTGCTCAGCCAGCAGCATCTGGATTAAGAGGTATCATATATATAACTAAACTTTTGTAATGGTTATATACATTCCCTTCTTCAAAGATTATGGGATTGGAGTTCTCCCACTTTTGTGTTTCCTGATAATATCTTTATTTGTGATTTTTTTTCCCTTGAAGTTGTTGCTTCTGGGCTTTGGTTGGCTCCTGGGGATTCAGAAGAGGTTGCAGCTGCTCTATCTCAGGCTTTGAGGAATCGTATAGAAAGGTTTTTTTCCCCTTCAACTCTTGAGAGTGAAATTAATATTTTGTTGTATCTTGCCATTTTATCTTATTGACTTTGGCAGAGCTTTGCATGGGCTTTATTACATGAGATTTGGAGATGTATTTTTGAAGTTTCATCAATTTCAAAGAGAAGAACTGTTCAGGTATGTTTTTGCTACATCTTGATTTTTTAGAGTATATAATAGTAATTATTGAGCACGTAAATCAATTGGTGTAAGGTTGTGCAAGCTTAATCAATAGTATTGAGTTCAAGTCTTGAGTATACAACTATGTTAAATACTTAGAAGGAGAACTTTGCCACTGATAGAAACTTGTTATCTTATTAGAAAGAATAAGGAGTTTCTCCCTGAATACAGTATAACTGAGAGCATCTCCTCTCAATGCTATCCAAACCCAAGATACTTCTCCTCACGCACTGTAAGGCCCTCAAAATACTTGTCTAAATTGATAGCCACCAATAGGCATTGCCCATCCCATCAAATTTTGGAATTGTCTTCAATAATTGATACTCACGACTCCAAGATTGGAGCTTTGATACCAATTGATAGAAACTTGGTATCTTATTAGAAAGTATAAGGAATTTCTCCCTCAATACAATATTTAGCTTGTTGAACTTTGAGGCATTGCACCTTCCAATGCCCAACGGCCCCAATTCTCTCACAAATGACAAGATGAAATACCTCTCAACCCTCTTCCTATTTACATACAGCTAATGGTCTCCTAACATAAACCCACACGCAGTGGGCTTAATCAGTTGCAGGCCCATTCCACTTCTTTCTGACATAACTCCTAACTGACCCTATCACCACCCATAATTTTCTTACCTAGCTTGAGCATAATTGCCTTCAAGAGGGAACGTGAAAATGGTTGAAGTTGATGAAGAATTATAATTGGGGATAATTATGAGGAAACCAAAGAAGAATCATTCAATTTTGAGGACTCTGAAGAAGAGGAAGAGTGAATGAGTGATGTGTTTCACTAGATGTAGATGGCAAACAAAATGATTTTGTTGGGGGTTGAGGAAGAGCTAGAGGATTATACATTTAAGACATTAACATTATGTTTGTATTGTTTTTGATCATTTGTCATTGTTTTGAAGTCTTAAACTCGATGGTGTTTAGTTATCATTTGATTGTTATTTGAAGTCTAAAACTTGTTAGTTATTTTGTGGTTTTCTTCTTATATATATTTATTTCTGCATTGCAATTTTATTTCTCGCTCTATATATTATTTTTATTCTGCCCACCACAAGCTACAATGTCATCATGGATTTTTGTCTGGCTACCAGAATCATTCATCATTAACACTGAGTATGGGTCATTATAACTATTTATCATGCTAGCACACATAATTAATTCAACATATTCCGTGGAACAATTTTCTGAACTGCCAACTGTACAGTAACATGCTTCTTTCCCTTTAGACCTCAAATTTCCTGTAGATTTAGTCATATTTGCAATTTTGCATTGACCTTGAAATTTCTAAATCCAAAGTCCCACCAAAGCTAGTTGACTGGACAATGCAATTTGTGTGGTCTTGCCTGTTTACTGCTTTCTGATTGTGACCATGCTATCTTCTGCTTTTAGTATTTCATAATTTGAATTTTCTATTACATATTTGTGATATTTCCAGAAGAGGACAGCCTGCAGTTGAGTTTGTCTTTGCTGCAACCGAGGAGGCAATCTTCATACATGTCATAGTGTCCTCAAAGTATGATGGTGCTAGGTTTTTGTAATGTGTAAAATTAACTATGATTAATGAGTATGAAATTCCTCTGTAAGTATTATTGCACTATGAGTTTCTTACAATGAAAGGTTGAGCTACCATGAATAGTAGTAGATACAGAGAAAAGAAATAACGAAAGTAGGGAAAATATTGATAGAGAGAAAACCAGAATCAGCCTTTCCATGCCCTCTCTCTTGTAGTTAATTGGCTATATACCATCATGCTCTCACACGTAATACCTCCAACGTGAATTTGATATTCTATTTCTCTTACTTTTCTGCACGACCACCTTCCATGAATTAGTTGCCACCTGTCCCCTAGATGATGTGTCAGCTTCACTCTCCTTGTCCTTTCCCTTAATTACCCTGTGACAATACCATCCCCTTTAACCACAACCTTGTCCTCAAGGTTGAAAGTTGGAAATGCCTCTGTTATAGCATTATGATCCTCCCAAGTAGCTTGTGAAACATCAAGTCCTTGCCATTGAACTAAATGTTGTGTCACTTGCTTAGATCCCCGAAGTATCACACGAGTCTGTAAAATACTGGATGGCTGTCCAATGCGCTCCACAATTGGAAAAGGACCACAATTGGCAAACAATTTATGTTGTTGCAACAGGAGGAGGACCATTTCTAAGTGTTGTAAATGTGTAGACCTAGATGTACCATACACAAGGATATCATCAAAAAATACAAGCACAAACTTCCTCAACAACCCACTAAAGACCTCATTCATCATGTTTTGCACCATAAACTCAATCTGTTGTTTTTGGCGGTGAGGATATCGATAAGGTCTCACTTTAACCGGTGTTGTACCTGACTTCAATGGAATGGAATGGTCTTGAGAGCGCCTAGTAGGTAATCCTGTTGTTACAGCAAAAACATCCTTGTAAGTATGTAGCAATCTGGCTAATTCCGGCTCCATATCAGTTGGTAAATCTAACCACTGATCTTGTGGACAGGCAGGGTGTTGAAATTGCAGAGTAAACAACTCAGAAATGGCATGAGTGTTCTGCATTCCTTCTAAGGTGATTAAATTGAGCAGGTTGAGGAAGCTGCGACCGTTCACCTTGTAAAGTAATAAATTTGTCACCCACATAAAATTTCAAGGTTAGATTGCTGTAATCTAAAACATGAGGGCTGAGTGTTGCTAACCAAGCTGCTCCCAACACTAAATCAGTTCCAGAAACATTTAAAAGATACACGGGAAGCTTTAGCTGTTGTCCTTGAATTCGAACATCCAAGTCACGAACCAATCCTTCAGCTTGCAGAGAATTTCCATTACCAACTAAAACTTGGAATTGAGGAATTGGCTCAATAGGCAATTTCAATGAATGAGCAATCTGAGGTTGTAAGAAATTATCCGAGCTCCCACTATCAAGCAACACTTGCACTAAAAGGCCATTGATTGAACCTTGGAACTTCATGGTGCCTAAACACGAGGAACCCTTCAAGGCATTGTAAGATAAGTGAGGTTGCTGCAAACTCAAAGTAGAATTAGCACCCAGTATATCAGGAGGGTCAGGTTCCGGCTCATTAATATCATCCTGTTCTAATTGTAAAAGAAGGTACTGCTTGTTGGGACATCTATGACTGGAAGAGAACTTCTCATCACATGTATAACACAATCCCTTCTCCCTTCTTAATTGCATCTCTGCAAGAGAAATCTTCTTAATCGTGTTAACGAGAGAACTTTGGTTTGGGGTGGGCAATAATGGTGGTGAACTGGTAGTTCGAAGGGTTTGGGATAAGGGTAGGCTAGTTTGGTATGGTTTGTGGTTAGGAATGTATTTTTCTTCATATAACTTGGCTAACAAAACAGATCGGATCAAAGTGGTAGGAGCCTGTGCAATAACATCCCTCCTAATCTCAGGTTTTGAACCACCCACAAAGCAATCCAAAAGAGCATCAGTGGTAATTCCATGCACACGGTTCGCCAAAGAAGTGAACTGCACATAATAATCCTGCACTGACCCGGCCTGTGTCAATTTGAACAAATGTGACCTAGGACATTCATACGGTGAAGGACCAAATTCAATCTCCAAAGCTCTTGTAAGGTCAACCCATGAATGAAATGTATTGGTGCGAGTCATCATTTGATACCACGGAATGACGTCTTTATCAAGGTGTACAGCAGCAATGGTAAGTCGTTGTGCATCAGGAGTGTTATAGTAATTAAAGAATTGCTCTGCTTTGAAATTCCATTGAAGCAAATTAGTACCATCAAAACGCGGAAAATCCAATTTAACGTTTCGTACGTGGAACGGTTGAACCGGAGCACTACCGTTTGTTTCTCGTATTAGCTTTTGTTTCATCAATTCATCCACAACAGATTCTAATGTCTCAAATCTAGTTGAATCCTCTTTATCACGATTTTCCATCCATTCCAGAATGCGCTTCACATCAGAGGAGAGTTCTTTTAAGCGAGTATTTTCCGCCATGACAAAAATGAAAGCACCAATTTGTAATGTGTAAAATTAACTATGATCAATGAGTATGAAATTCCTCTGTAAGTATTATTGCACTATGAGTTACTTACAATGAAAGGTTGAGCTACCATGAATAGTAGTAGATACAGAGAAAAGAAATAACGAAAGTATGGAAATATTGAGAGAGAGAAAACTAGAATCAGTCTTTCCATGCCCTCTCTCTTATAATTAATTGGCTATATACCATCATGCTCTCACACGTAATACCTCCAACGTGAATTTGATATTCTATTTCTCTTACTTTTCTGCACGTCCACCTTCCATGAATTAGTTGCCACCTGTCCCCTAGATGATGTGTCAGCTTCACTCTCCTTGTCCTTTCTCTTAATTACCCTTCTCTCATTTGTAGATGTGACAGTTTTTTAGTTAATCAATAGTTATCTTGCATTGGAATATTTACCTATTATTTTCCCCCCTTTTTACCGGGCATATCCGGATTCTTTCCATGGGTGATTTGGAAAAAGTATTAAGACATTCTATAGAGTCAGCCTATAGACTTCCAGGTTGTTCAATTTATTTCTCAATTTCTCAGATTTACTATTCATAGATGTGCTATCTATCCATCTTTGCTGGTACTAAAATATTTTGGTTATGCTGGCTTTTGTTTGGTTTGTAATGATGGAGAGCAATGCTAGGATTTCCAAGGATTGGTTGATGAGGATTTCTGTCCTTTGGGATAACATTTTGTATTTGCAAACTTTTGCTAATGTATACAAGGCCAATTTTGGTCTATTATATAAGTTAAGGGGGTTTGAGGAGTTTTGTTGTACCGAGAACTGAGTTTTGCATCTTAGAGATTTTGTTACACACATTTGAGATATTTTGATAATTAGAAGGAACCTGCATCTCAAGCTTGTTTTACTTGGTTCTTTTATTCCCAATAAATTTCTTTCTATGTTATTGAAGAAGAGGAAAGAGGCTATTTATTCTTTCTCTGTTATTGATACTTTCATGCCATGTTATTGTCTCTATCTCTGTCAATGTCTTCCTCTGTTTTCAGGTGTCATATTTTTAAGACTGTGGGGGAGAGTTAATTGGGATAGTTAGAATATTGGGCCTGTTTGTTTAAACTTTTTTTTCTTCTCAAAAAAACTTTTTTTTTAATAAAATAAGCAGTTTTCTACTTTTTTGACATTTTATCTAAACTGCTTATTAAAAAAAAAAAAGTTCTTTTTTTATAAGTAGCAACTCCTATCTACTTCTTAAAAAAAATAAATTCAAAAGAACTTCTTTATAATTGTTTTTTTAAACAAAGTGACTCATTAGTCAGTTAGAGTGGGAGTTAGAGGAAGTTTGTGAGATAAATTGATAGAATTCATTCAGATCTGTTATCATTTGTAATTTTAGCTATTGCCTTTGTGAAAGGAGAAATCCTTTGTAAAAGGGAATATCTTGGAGGAGAGATCTCTCTCCTTTGTTCTGTTCAATTTCAATCAAGAAATTTAATCCTTCTTTTATATTCTCTTTTCTAAGCTGGGTTTCTGACAAATATCATATGTTCATGCATGTTCATTACTAATTTAGTTAGCAATATCCAAAAGGGTTACTGAGTTTATCTTAGTTCTCCAGATGGCTTTTCTTGGCACCATGTTTGATTTTATTTTTCATTATTGTGGCAGTGATTGTTTCTCTAATGCGTGGCAGCTTGACTGGTTGTTCACCTAGTGATCTGGTCAAACAAAGCTATTTCAGGTCCCTTCTATAACCTTTTAGATAGACATTTGATATATCAAGATATTACCCATGACTGGCAGATTGAGTTCCTTTTTTTTAATAGCAGTTCTACCAAATATAGGGTGTCCAATGGAATTATAGGTCTCCCTAATCATGTTTCCCAGGGTGTTGGTTGCCAGCTGAGGGGGCAGAATTGTTATGTTGAAGTAAGTCTTGGCTCCCCTAGATCTGGAACTGACAACACATTTCAGCCCAACAAAATTAGTGTCAGGAATTTACCCAAACTTCATGTCGTTGAGTCTCCTATTATGGGATGAAGTGATCACAAGGGATCACCAGATCATTTGTTGGATTATGAGAAAACATTTCTCTATCCAGCTGAGGCAGTGCTTGTGCCAATTTTGCAAACATCATTAGCAAGGTCTTCCTTGAGAAGGTACTTTTTTCAATGGACATATGCCTCTATGTTATCTTTATTTTCTCCTTTCTTTGATTAGGAGGTGTGTGTAGTTGTTATGCAATCTATTCAAGCTGGTTTTCATCCTTGATTTTTTATTTATTTAATGTACTGTTTATGTTAAGTAAAGAAGTTTATTAACAGAAGAAAATTACAAGGAAAATTATAACAAAAAAAATGTCAGTGGGGCAAAATTGCCCAATCCCTCTGCATATCTATTTGGAGAACCTCCTTGAAAAGGCAACATGATTGATTCCCGATAGAAGCTAACCACCAAATATCCAAATCAGCTACATATCAAACAAATCTCATTAACAATACTGGTTTTATGCTCGAATGATATGCTCCAAATAGTAGCATGAATTGCACAAGAGTAGTTATTGGTTGCTGGAGCGAGGTAGAGCACAGCTCCCCTGCTCCCACATGGTCATGTTTGTGTAATTCGTCATCATGGTGTTGTTTCGCAGTAGTGTTCAGTTGCCGCTTGAATAACAGTCCAAGTCAAGTGAGCATTATGTACTGTGTAACCCTTCGATTCCAGAACCCATCACCCATCTGACCTTTAATTCACATGCTACTGTGCCTTGTCATCTTTGTTTTAAACTATTTTCTTTTTTCAACGGCCTCCTCTGTTTCATGTGCAATACAGCCATCTTTGTTTTTTTAATTTGATCTTATTTTTGTTTTGGATACAAATTCTTACTTTATTAATTGTTGCCACCTAAACTACAGTTCTTGGTGCCACTTGAGCTGCAACAAATTTAGTTTTGTAAGATGAATTGTTATATGTGCATTGTGCTGTCATATGAACCATTATACTTCAATTCCTAGAAGACCCTGTGATTCATACTATATTAATGTGAAACATACAGATTTTGGCTGCAGAATTGGATGGGACCATCCCTGCCTGGTTCCTCTTCCTTTATTCACTGGTTTGTCCTCTCTCTATTGCTCTCTGTGTTCATGCATGCTTTTTCCTGAGATTTTTCTTGATTCTTATATCTTTGTTTATTGTCAAGGTTAATTGTGAACCCTGTCTTATGCTGATGGCTGTTTGGCATACAGACTAGGCAGCTTGTTGCATTTTTCATTTTTATTTTTATTTTTTATGTTTCTTGTTGTATCTTGAATTTTCTGTATCACTACCTATCTTATTGTCTCAATAGTCCAAAGTGCTTTTCTTCTTTTCTGCTATAAAAATTCTTTTTTTTAAACAAAAAATTGTTGACAAGTAGCAATAGGTTTTCGGAAAAACCTTGTCTTACTTCTATTCCACTTTAAACCTTAACCCTAAACTTATTGGTTATTTTTTTGAGCACATAAATATGTTTGAGTACATTTGTTCTGGTTTTTGCTAAAGCCTCAATTTTACACTTTGGACTCTTAAATTTTTCTTCTGCCTTCTGCAGTGCTGGTAATATGGATGTACTGAAGATCCTTGGACTGAAATCAATGGAACTCGAATGCAAAATAGTTATGATAGTAGTAGCAATAGCAATAGTAGCAGTATTAGTAGCTTAAGTGCCAGCTCTAGTGATAGTGATTACAAGACTACAGGACCGAGTGAATAAGAGGCAGATGTTGATTCTTTAACGTGTAGACAGTCTATGGTATCTTCTGGTGATCAGTTGGAAAGTGATGGCCCCAAATTGGTATATCATTATTTACTTTTGAAAAAATAATGATGAATATTTTTTACTTAAAGAAAGTTTATTATGATGAGTAAAAGAAAATTACAGGGAGCTTGGATGATAATGGATCATCCAAAAAGAAAAAACAGAAAATTTAACCAACAAAGAGAAGAAAAACAATGGAACAACGCCACCCAATCACTCTGCATATCTGCTAGGGACCTTTTAAAAAACCATTTGCTTTACACCAAATGGGAGTCAATAGCTGAATCTTATCTCATATCATTTGACAAGCTTATCAACCTCAAAAATATAAACACTATGCTTCAACCAAATGAATCAAATTATAGCATAAACTGCACATTGCCGTTAAAAATTAGTCTCTTCACTTCTACCAACATTACCAAAGCTAGTTACCATAAATTTTTCTCCATTTTTATATTCTTTGGGATGTAAGCAGTTAACACATTTTATTGGATTATGAAAAAGCAAGGTGGCGGTTGTAGCATTTCACTAAATGTAATGTATTGTATGCAAGATGCACTGATACTGGTGAGAGTAGTTACCGTACTCTTAGGTAGTACATGATACACACACCAACATTTTAAATTCTTATATGAAACTAAGACCATTACCCATGAGTTCTGGATACAGGTACTTGGCAAGTTAGCAGTATCTTCACAGTATAGCCTAGCCACTCGTAAGATTGTGTGCACATGAAGAAGGCTTACTGCATTTTTAAAATATATTGAGAAAATAATTATGTTGTATTTTTCTTGAAAATATGAAAGATTCTTTGACAATATTCTGCGTGCTCTTATTATTGTATTTTTTTTTTTGTGGTTTTGGAAGGAGTGCTTTTAGTTTTCCTGTTTGCTGATTCTAGTTTTTGTGCAATTGAGCATTATAGTGGCTCTTGTCTCTCTGCAGGGCTCTAAGCGGCCTCGAACTGGAGTGACAGAGTTGTTAAGTACAGCTACAAACATTCCAGTGCAAGATGCTTACATGTCTATTTTGGTTTCATGGAGGTGAACAATTCAGCCATTACAGGAGTAGGAAACGAACCAATTGGGTCTTACTGGGACTGGGATGATGATGATAGGGGCATGGGAATGGATATTCAAGCCCTTCTATCAGAGTTTGGTGATTTTGGTGATTTCTTCTATCCGAATATTTATACTATGATTTTAAAGAGGATTCCTTCTTTTGATTTCCACTTTTTCTCATCTATAATCCTGAGTTTAGTGAGAGCCATTGAGTTGTGACATCCATTTCTAAACAGGTGCGCACCATAATTAATGTCTTAAATGGTAAATTACACCAAATAATTATGTCTTACTTTCAACTCTTCAATATCTATTATCACCTATTTTTCCTTGAGCATAACAAATGTTTAGAAGCCAACTTTTAAATTTGTTCAATTTACTTTTGGGAAAAAAGAATTTTAATAATAATTATGCATTTTCTTCATTCTAGCAGTTTATAAGTTGGAACAATACAAGTTTGGTTCTCCTATGGATGAAAAATTAGAAATACATACACTTCCCTATACACTTTTTTGGTTTGTTTTCTATACCACAATAAGGGCCTCCTCCCACTTCAAATATAGAGAAGGTTTGAAGATCCTTATTGCACTATTGAAGATGTTTAGTTTGTTGTATCTTCTATTCTTTGTTTGGGATTATAAGGTGTTTTCCTAACTTCTTATGCCTTGTCTCTCCTTTATTTTATGTGTGTGTGTGCATAAAGTAATGAATCTTAATTATATCTTGATGATTCTTTTTCAAATTAAAATTTGGATATAAGATTTGGTTGATTGCTTACACTGTATAATGTCCAATGTTAGAATCTTTTTGTTCAACTGGTGACTACTTCAAATTTATAAGCTCCTCCTCTTTATTATTCCAATATTATTGTTCTCTCTCTGCTTCTTGGTCTTTTATGTACTGGTCTCTTATTGTGTGATCATTTTTCTGACAAAGCCTCCAGGAACTGCGGAATCTCAGGCACTAATTTTTTCTGCTCCAGATTGTGGAGATGTCAACAGCAGTCCAGGTGGTGTGATAGATGTTGTTTCAGATCCTCCTCTTTATTATTCCAATATTTTTGTTCTCTCTCTGCTTCTTGGTCTTTTATGTAGTGGTCTCTTATTGTGTAATCATTTTTCTGACAAAGCCCCCAGGAACTGCGGAATCTCAGGCACTAATTTTTTCTGCCCCAGATTGTGGAGATGTCAACAGCAGTCCAGGTGGTGTGATAGATGTTGTTTCAGATCAAATACTTTTTCCTGTTGGGTTTCCTTCCTTTGATAGCTTTAACCCCCCTCCTTCAGCAGCCATGGAGGAATGTCTTAACAAAAGTCAAGATAACTTGAATAACTCCATGTCTTCGGGTCCAACCAATCAAACTCAAATGTTGTATACGAGAGAGTTTGATCATATAATGAAAGCCGAAGCAATGATGACATTTGCTTCTGAATTTGGAGCTGTGGAGACCCCTACTTCTGAGTTGTCCACAACAATTTTCAGAAGCCCATATTTTCCAAAATCTCTAAAAGCAGAGAGTTCAAATTCAAGTTCAAACAATTACTTATATGGTGCAGCACCGCCCTCGTCTCCCTGCACTGAAGGATCAGAGGGGAAGAATGGAGTGGTTGTCAATACAAAAAAAGGTTCTGGAAAACTTGTTGCAAGTATGAGTCTCCACTCAAAAAATTGCTATACTTCGGTGGAGAGCCAGAAGGAAAAAAGTGATAAAAATCCTGTCACATGTAATGATTTTATTATTGTGTGCAATAGTTTGTGTGCAATTGTTGGATTAAGGAGGTCAACTCAGTCAAAACATAATCCATAAGCATCTAACAATAGTAACAAGTATAAAATCACAATTTAAAATAGAAACAAGACTAACAATGTTAAATAAACAAATTGATGAAAGTCAACAGAAAAGTAAAAAGTCAATCCTCAAGTCAATATCTAACAAAGAGAATCTATAACATGCAAAACACTATCAAATGAATTTTAAAAAATACAAGACTACCAAAAACTCATTTAATATCAAAATTTCTAATTTTTGTAATTTTTTGGTGATTTTTAAAATATAAAAAATATTATAAAAAAAAGTGGTCTAAACGATAGAATTTGGCAATTTTACGCACAGTTTACTAACAAAGGGAGTAAGTGTTCTTAGAATCACATGTTACCTTTGGAGAAAAAGTTTCAGCCCAAAGCGAAAACTCTAAAAAGTGTTTGCAAGCAAATATTACACAAAACTCAACAAAAATGGTTAGAATCGAGGTTAGTATATACAAAAGCAATTTCACAAATAGTTAGTAAGCATGATAAAAGCAAGACACACTGACTTGTGTCCCTGCAATGGCACCATTTTGATAGTGTTGTCGAATCAGTATAAAAAAATTACTAGATTTTCTCAAAGATTTGTAATATAGGGAACAACTTAAGTCATTCTTCTCGAAGACACAAGCCAATTGGATCCAAAATTATCACACAATTAGAAAGGAGGTTTTTATGAACAGCAAAGAGAAATTAGAATATTGCAAATACAAACAGAAAATTCAATTAGAGATTACATTGATTCAAGGTTTCAATTCGTGCGGCAAAATTTTCATAGTTCAACAATAAATTAGAGTTCTCAATTAACCTAATTCAACATGAACATAATCAAAAGAAAGTATATCTAAATCTATATCTATGAATTCCATCAAAGCATGAAACACAATCGCAATCTCACAATTTTAATAAAATTCAATGGCAGTGAATGGTTAAATTAGGCAATTTAGGTTTTTTAGGTCTAAATCTAAATTTAGATATAAAATTAATCTTCAATCTTTGTTCTAGATCCCAAAATGAAATTCATAATCATGAAGAGTGAAAAATAGATCTAGAACATAGAAGAAAACAAAGAGAAATCATACGGTAAAAATAAATCAAGAACTTAAATTTTATCGTAATTCATGAAACCTTGAATCAGATGAAAAGATTAGCCACACATCATAATCATGTTGCAACAATCCAATTCGTTTTAGCAAGAGAGAAAATCCAAGGGAAAAAGAAAAGAAGGAGAAGAGAGAATTTAGAGAAACTTATAAAGGAAACAACTCTAAAATCTGAAAAATGAATATAAAGTGTACACAAGTCTCACAATACCTATTAATAGAGAAATATATTAGGCCTAATTTGAGTAATTAAAGGCCCATCTCACTAAATCAACTAATTACGTCACTAAATAAATCCTAACATTACAATCTAAAAACAAACAGAAAATACTCCACATGACCGCAATCTTGCAACCCATTTTTCAGTCCCTTTTTCAGTCCCTTAAAAACTAAATTGGCCTTTTCTCCCAACAAAGAATGTTCAAATCCGATATTGGAAGCTCCAGATATGGCCTGCACAAGAACAAAGTGTAAAAGTAAGTAAAAATCCAAAAATTGAGTAAAAATTACAAAAACTATTAAATAATACCACTATCATAAATCTAAGCCAAAAGATGAATATAAGGCACATACAAAGGTCAAAAAGGTCAAATAAATGCATACAGAGTTGCTTTCCAAAATGTACTATCAAAGGGCTTCCAACCTTCATGCCATCTTCATCTCTTCCTTAGACGTCCCATTTTATCTTGGAGGCTAGGAGCTCTTGGTGATCCATGATCCTTGGAGTAAGGAGACTCCTTCATTGATCCATCAATCCATCAATGGTGAGGTGTTTCCATCATTTTGGCATCTTGAGCAAAGGTTCATTAAGGGTAACTTCTAGTCTTGTTCTTTCTTCATTTTATTCGGTCATGTTTGATTGCTTTGCTTGTTTTGTTGTTTTGGCCGAATAGATCATACATGTACATGTTCATATGATCTATGTTTCTTGTCTTGAGTTTTTGGTTCATTTTATGCATTCTTGAACCTCTTTGTGTACCTAAGGTTTCCTTATTTTTAGGTGGTATTCATCCTTTTGCTTTTAGGTTTTTGGTTCATTTTATGCATTCTTATTTCATAAAGAGAACAGAGGTTTTCAGAGAGTCTTTTGCAAGGATTATCATAAAGACACAAATTTTTCAATTCTTTCTTGATCTAAGTTCGAAAACTGATATTTAGAAAACTCTCTATTTGAAATAATCAATTATTTACATGGATAATCAATTATTTTGTTCTTCATAAATCTAGAAACCAGTCAAGAACAATTTAATCAATTATTTGCTGAAATAATTAATTATTATAGAGCATTGACTCTGAAATAATCAATTATTGCAATATGTTTCTCATAAGGAGAAAAATAGAGTAAATAATCGATTTCTTCTAAGTGGATAATTGATTATTTTAAGTGACAAACTCAAATTCTTAATTTTTCATGTTTCAAACCAATTTAAAAACCTTTTCATCATCAACCATCATCTAACTAAAGATATATGACTAAGTTACTCACAATGCACAAAGCAAACATGCACACCAAAGCATAAAAAAAAAAAAACAATACAATTTGCACTCTCTTAACTATGAAAGGTACTCTTTGTAATCATCAAAATATAAGTTAAGTCTTCATCATGAGTTTGGTCAACAACTTCAGCCAATTAGCAATCCTCTTAGAAAGGCCTGGTGAAGAGGATGCTTGGACAAAAGGAGTGGATAAATCATCCTTCTTCTTCTTATAATTCTTATCTTTCTTCTTTTTATTTTTCTCTCCATCATCATTTGAGTAGGAACATTTCTTGCAAATTTTGGGGTAAGGCTTTAGCCTTATTTTGCTCAAGTTCTAATCATTCCATTCAAGGATCACAAAATCAACATTCTCGTGATCTAAGAGTACTTTAAAATATTGGAATACTTTTGTTAGAATCATGTCATAAGGGACATAGGATGTCACCTTAGAGGGCTTGGTAGCTTTAATCATAAATTGCAAAATAATGTAAGGAAGGCAAATTCTAATATGTTTCCACATGTAGAAAATGATCAGAAGATCCTAATCAGTTACATCTGGGAACAGGCAGCAACAGGTGGAGACACATATTGTGAACTATTCTACCAAAAGACTTTAAGTTGGAGGACTTCAACTCAGTTTCTCCTTCCTCCAATACCTTCTTTATCACCTTCTTCTTAGAGACTTGCAAGGTCTCAAACAGCCACACCATAACTCTAACCCATCTAGTGGCAGTCCTACAATCTTTCCTAAAGATTCAACTACTAACAAGATATTTGTGCCCTTAATATTCACAGATATTATACCAGTTTCCTCATCAACTTCAACACTTGCATAGAAACCCCTAACCATCCTTAGATACATGAAACCTTGATTATTAAAGAAGTTATTCCAACCTTGTTTGTTAATGAAGTAAGAGAGATTCCATCCATTATTCTTGATTTCATCCATGTTAGTTATTCTCCCATAGACAACTATTCTATCCTTCCATGATTTGTTGAAAGAGTTGATTAAATCCTTCTCCCTGGACAAGCTAGAATTTTTCTTCGTTTTCCTTTTTAGAGTTCTTGTGGCAAAATGCTTCACAAACATCTCTCGTGGTGGTTTGAACACAAGCCCAATAGGTTTGGGTTGTGTTCATAATATTTGTACCTCATCACTGCTTGATGGTGATACAAATTCAAGAGAGTCAGGGCCTTTCCCTTTATCAGTTGCGAAGGGTTTCTTTGACGAAGACATGATCAGAGTAAGAGACAATAGATTAAAAAGAATGAGTGGGTAAAAGAGAATAAGAGCAAAAGTTGAAAAAGGTTAAGAGTAGTTTGGAGAAGTTGAGAGAGGGAACATTGTATGATTCAAATAGTGGGAGAGAAAGAAACAAATGAAGTGAAAGAGTTAATGTTCCTTATAACTTCCTAGGAAGTTACCATTATTGCTCAAACGATAACATTTTGTTACCTTGACTTCATAATAATTAACCTCTCAATTTTTATTTTATTTTAATATTTGCCTTAGCTAATCAGAAGGTATGTTCAAAAGATAACAACATATAAATACAGGTTATGGATAATAAAAAGATTGATCGTGGTATTCAATAGACATCCATAATTTTGTAATTTCAAACATATATTTAATACTTAATTTTTCTTTATAAAAAAAATGAACCCGTCTTCAGGGAGTTATTTGGTGAAGATGTCAACCAGTTGGATTTTGGTTTCAATGAACTTTATTTTAATATCTTCTTTATGAACGTGATCTCTGATGAATGGTGAATAGAATTCTTTGATAGTTCAATTAAATATCCTAGGAATTAGAAATACTGAAATAAGCGTTGACACCATTTGGAATTAGAAATAGGACTTGGGATTTGGGGTTTGTCTATTTTCTTATTAAGTAAATTAAATTTAAAAATAAATTAAATAAATTAAAGGTTAAATTATATTTTTAATTTTTATCCTATTTCTTAGATTTATTTTAGTTCTTTATATTTTAAAATGCTCATTTAGTTATTTATCTTTTATATTTTGATCGATTTGACTTTTTTAAAATAATAATAATTTTTAATTTTATAATACAATTTTGAATTAATTTGTCTAATTTAATATTTGTAACAATAAATTCAATTATACAAAAATTGTAACATTCAATTAATATTTGAATCCATAAAGTTTATAAACATAAAAAAAATTCTGTAAAAACATGTCTCATAAACAGCTAAAAAGTAATATGAAATTTAAATTTTTAAATTCAATTATCTTTTAGACTTATTTTTATATAATTTTCACCATGTTTACAATATTTTTTTATTTGAGCTTTAATTATGTCTAATAATTTTCATATAAATAAATCTAATGAGATAAATTTTAAGTCTTTAAGTCAGTCAAAAAAATATCTAAAATCATATCTCAAAATGTTAATGGCCCTATGTAAATTTTTCAGTTAATTTCAGTTCCCAAATTTTCACATCGGACTATTAAATTTTCTAATAGACGAAGGCAGCGACGGTTGCCAATGCGAGGCTATCAAATAATTAGTAATTGCAATATATTTGAAATTTTTCTCAAAAGTCAATACAGAACGAGGTTTTCAGATACATAGAAGTAAAATATAAGGCACGAGACTTCAATCTTCTACTTTCACAGTTCACTCATATTTTAAGAAACGGGAATTGGGTCCGATACAACCATCAAATTAAGAGGGAGTAACTTGTCCTCAAGTCCACGTTCAGGTGATTCATGGAAACGACAGATTTTACTCATGCGACTCTGAAGAATGACAAAACAAAGGCTTTTCGAACATAGCCCAGGAAAGTAATTTCCATTTTAACATAGAATCATATGAATCATGATATTAAGAAGAAAATAAAAATAAGGAAATGAACTTGACAACCATCAGAACTGACACAGCTAAAGAACTAATAAATAAGAAGCTCGTGTCAGAAATCAGCAAAGACAGCGAAAAGATCACCATTGATGTAATCATTGTCCACCAAACTGACCAAGAAGTAGCTGCCCCCCACCTGTGACACAAATAGAAAGAATTATCAAAGCTATAGTATCTAGCTAAAATAAAAAATACAGCACTACCATCAAATACACAGAATTTCCTTTTATAAGAAGGCAGCATGCAAGGTTTTACAGGACCATAGATTTAGAAACCAACCTCTTCGACCAATTTCCTGGATGCATCACCTTCAGGGTACAAGCACGCCCATCCCCTCGACCAAATTTCAAATGCCTCGTCCTTCCATACATTGAAGCTGACGGGATCTACAATGGTTGGTTGTATTATCTCCTTAGCTGGGAAGACACCCCATGTCACAGCATTGACATCAGCTTGACCCGCATTAGATTTCCAGCTCCCTTCTTTATTCACAGCCATATAAGTTAAAGATGTTCGATCCTTGCATTTATCAACAAGTGCATCCAGCTTTTCCTTAGAGCAGAAGAACTCTACATATGCCTTCTGATAAACATACCCACCAGGTCCACCCCAGCCTAGGCCATATATCAAAACAAAGGATTTAGTGTATCTCATATCCACCAATACAGACAAGACATCAATATCATCATTCATAAATTGCACTGGACATTCTCATCAGGAAAATCTCAATATATGTTGTATCCCTATTTTGTTTTCTACTCTTCAATCTTCATTATTCATTATTTTACAAGAAAGTATACCCAATATAAAGGTCTAAAAACTGAAACAAAACCCTTCCCGTCATCTGGTCACCAGAAGTTTTGTAATTTAAGAATAATATTTTTGCTAATCAGCTTAAAAAGCAGTTCAGACTTTTAAGCAATAAACAATTTGAATTGATCTGTAAGACACCAGATCAGTGATATGCATAGGTTCAAAAGACTATGTATCATTTAATTTTCAACTCTTCTTCACATGTATTAGAAAGTTAGTCAACCATCTATAGCTATAGTACAAACTAGAATGCTCTAAACCTACATCAAGAAAATACCATGCATGGATAAAAATCAACTTCTTTTACACCTACCTACAGTATGGGAATCCGATTTTTCCCCATTGACAGCTGGCTGGCTATTGATTGTGAGGAAGCCCTTCATGTTAATCTTCTCCAGCAATTCATTTATGATCTTTGTCTCTGGCTGAAGACCATCTAGTTCTGACCAAGGATTGCTTCTCAACTTTCCAAGGCAATACAGTCTAAACCTCTGATATGTAACAAAAGGCAAAATTTTAGACGATGCTGAAGTGTTGGTAAGAATACTCTAGCAATATTCCAAGTACAGTAACTCCACCTCATATATATCTTCAACACTTTTCAAGGGAACTGCCCATTCTTCGATAAGCTTTTTGTCCCGCGAACGTGGCCGCATGAACTGCGAGAAAGAAACAGTCAATTATAGCACCAGCAATTTACAAGATTTACTAATTTCTAAAAGCTTCAATGTAGCTTTTCGTTCTTCTGTCTTGTTTTCTTTTCCTTATCTTTTATTCCACGTACAAAAAAATGATTAGGTTGTGCATGACCTTCCTTTTATAATACTATTCTATTCTTTTTTCCAAAAATAAAGAGTTTGTACAGCATCCTAATCACACAACAAAATATGCCACCCACACCCACGTTTTTCAATGTAGGGCACCCAATAGCATTTACATTAAATCCAAGCATTCAAATTGGGATTTAAACTACATCATAATTGCAGCCACAATATTGTGGTTTTGGAGGTTTCCACTTTCCACAACCAAATCACAATCATAATTGAGGCTGCCTCAACTGCATTTGTCAACAACTTTCTGCAATTTCAGTAATATCAAAACAATTGTGACCACAATTTGGAACCTTGATATTAAACTATTTATTCTAGGAGGAATATGCAAACAGTTTATGTTTCTTCAAAGACTATGCTTCTTATAAGATTCATCACTTCAGTATTTTCTACATTTGGATGGATAGGTAGCAGTTTTAGTTTCTGCATCTTACAAGTAGATTAATCTGTCTGAATCATGAGTAGAATCTTATACAATAATATATCTCAAATCAAGGAAAGTATAATCCATTTGAATAATCCACGCAACTATAATCACTAAATTTTCATTTTGCCTATACTAGTTATCCCTTAAGTACTAAACTACTAATGAATCTTAACAATTGATTTTGATCTGCCGATAGTGTGAAGAGTATTATATCAACTATGAAAGAAAATAAAAGTGTAATTAGTAATTACACAAATTATAATCATTATGTAACCATGTGTACCTGATAATCAGTTAATGCACCATATGATGGGTTGCAGGAATAACCCCAACGCCCGTGTGGGTATTGATCCCATCCTATGGTTCTTGATATGTAGCTTTTTGGACGATTTGCCCTATGACAGTTGCATAAAGAAAGTAAGAAATCCTTCAGACAGAAACACCACACTCTTCATATATTTTGGAACAAGACATAGAAGTTGCTAAGGTAACATACCAAAAGATTGGACGCACATCTTCTTTAACACGGAAAACATTTGCGGGGCGTCTCCAAGGTAAGGCCCTAGAAATTTTGGTCTCTTCAATTAAGCCAAGGTTCTGCCAGCAATGACATTAATATCAACTTTCAATTAAGTGAAGTCTTTCAAAAATAACATTAAAAATATACACATCACAAGCCAGAATATCTCATGAAATAAGAGACAACCATTAGTATTGCTAATGCTGATTTCTCCATATTTAGTGTATAAAGATGCACTGTCTTAATTCCATGAGCTAAAATTTTTTTGCACATTTCAGTTCCCAGGTGAACTCCATAAGACTTGACAGCTTCTTCGTTGTCCTTGATCGGCTCTAAAGCAGCCATAATCTCAGCTGGTATCTAGATTATGCCATTGAGAAATGGAAATAAAACATTGTATTAGAGCCCACTTGACTAATATAACAAATTGGTAAAAACTAAAAAGTAAACACATAAGACATAACAGAGATATATTGTGTGAAAACTTTCATCATGAACTTATGTCTAATTTCAAGCACTGACTGGAAGGGGTCTTCATTTCAATTTTGAATATTGTTAGCATGTACAAGATGTAATATTTCCAAATGTAGCAGTTATATTATTTCTCCATTGTCATTATCCAAGTATCTAGTCCACCCAAGTTGCACATTATTCTATCAACTGAAAACAAACATAAGAAACCTCTTCAAAATATCACATAACAAGATCACAGAATGGCTATATTTATTTTACAATTGATAACCTTTACGGCTTCACCATTATAAATAGAAGAGCATCTAACCATATACATATTGAAATTTATAACAAATCAGTGAACCACCTTACCAAAATGGAAATCAATTGCATCATGACAGTAGGCAATGATCTAAGCTTAGTTTTTTTAATATAGAGAAAGGTGAAAGGGGCAAAATAGGTGATAAAAGGATTGGATAGAAAAGAATCAGAACCTTTATTTTAAAGAGAGTTTACAAAAAGAAGAGAAAATGTACAGAATCAAAGAAAAGCCAAAAGATGAGAATAAACATGAAATGAATAGTCAACATAATTCAAAACTCATTTTGAGATTTTACACAAGCCATAAAGTTAACTTACGTGATGCCAATATAAGAGGGGGAAATAAAAAAATAAAAATAAAAATAAAAAAACTAAATCAGTTTCTATACTCCAAAATTTGTGCTCAAAATTTATTTCGGTTTATAGGGAACAGGCATATTGACTCCTTCCAGACATATGGCAAATCCAAAAGTGAATACCCTGCTTTTATGTCAATGGAAATTTACACATAGATGAGCCGTTTCCATGATTTGTCAGGGCTGAATTTGAGTCAGCTACTTAGGAAGTTTTAATTTGATCTGCACATATGCACGTGCCCAGACATATATGCTGTAACTTGTAACTTGCTGTTGAAATTATGAGGTTTTAAGTATAAAAGGAGAAAATTGAATAAACAGATATTTCAAATAATATTCTCTCGGGTAATAAATGCGATGATAAAACTTAGCGCACTATCCCTTAGTAATACTAATACTAAGGAGACCAATCATGAAATACTAAAGCAGTGAACCCGTGCTAAACAGAGTGTAGCAAACCAATTCAACTTTGGCTGTGAAAAAAGAAAAAGTAGAGAAGGGCAGGAAAGAATTCTATTACATTGACATTGTGCAATCTTATTGAATAATTTATTATAATATGATCAACAAATATGAAAACCCAAGAAATAGAGAAAATAATCCTAAGAAATAACCACTTAGAGTTAGAAACTTTAAATTATTCAAAGAAATAAGCTGTATATATACTATTGAGTATTTTCAATATATTCTAGCATTTTCTGTCAAGGAGAAATAACCAGCAAATGTTTCAGAGATGGCAGTGAGATTAGCAACAGAAATAATATGACACGAGGCCGAGCTCCTGATGCAGTTAACACAAGAATTTCCAAGAATGGAGGCTTTACATCAATGCATGTTGGGTTAATATTTTAGTAGTTAACTGTTAATTTTGCATATATCTATCCATTGCAAGTAATTTTTTACCCACCAATGTAATTTCTATACACGTCTTGAAGTTTAATTTTTATTAATATTCTCAAGTTCCAAAGGGCACAACTGATATTTTCATTCTGTATAATACATGTATAAAGAGATATTAATATTTAACAAGTGACTTTTTATGCTTCCTTTGAGAATCCCTCTCCCCCAAGGTCGTTTAGATTATTAAACATTTTAGTGTGTTCGGATTTCCGTTGGGAGTCTTCAAAACCGACTTTCACACTTCAAGGATGCAAATAAAGAAGCAAGTATATTGTAACTTTGAGTTGAAAGGCAGTTATGTTGAAACAAACTTTTATCCAAACACCCTACTAGAATATTTAATACTACGACTATACAGAGTTTTTTTCTTACCTTTGTTTTACAAAACCCAGTCATGCGGAGAAAACCCTTGTAATTATTAATGGGCATAATTCCAGGGACAATAGGACAAGTTATTCCAATTTGGCGACAGTCATTCACAAATTTGAGGAATATATCTGTATCATAAAATAACTGGGTGACAATCAGATCTGCTCCAGCATCAACCTATAAATAGAAAAGAGCATAAACTCAGAAAAAGAGACAGAAAGATGAACAACAAATTCCTAGCAAAATAATTCTTCTTCACCATCCACCCCTCACTGTTTACTTTTCACTTTCTTTTAGAAGAAGATTAGCCATGTTTATCAATAAATGCAGCATTTGTCATTAGTATTTTTTTTCCTTCTTATATAAGCTTGCAAGACACGGATCAAAAGAGTTTCCTAAAACTATGTTCTAGAACTGATAAAGAACTTTTAACACGTAAAATGGGTGGATTCTAATTCAATGACAAGACCTTGCTCTTCAGGTAAGCAAGATCATTTTGATAACCTTCCGGGGAAGCCAACCCGTTGCTTTCTATAACATCCGGATGTGCCTCTGAAGAGAAAGACAATAGATTAAAAGAGAAAATTATGATGGAAAAAGGAGCAGAAAAGCACTCCACATAAAGTAATAATTAAGTTGAAAATAATAATGATAATAAAAGCATGAAACCTGGATAACCAGCGACCGTAATGCCAAAGTAGTCACCATATTTAGCTCTGATATGTTTCACCTACAAAACCATCAGCATCCATAAAATCAGGACTCAAGACCAAACAAGTGGCCTAACTAACAGGATCAACAGCTAGTATCAAATTTTATAAATCTACGCTTAAAGTTTTATCATCACTAAGAATGCATGGTATAATGTTCTACAACATGCTGGAAAAATGTTGTCTACATGTTTGAAAGTTTGGTTTAAAAAAAAGTATATCATTCTTTGTAGTTTCAGGTTTATTTCCTATGTTGGGAGCGGTAGTCATTTAAAAATATTTCAAAATGCAAATAAAAACATCTCCTGAATAAGAGTATAAAAACAGCTCTTTCCAGGAGTAGTCATTTGGCACAACAAATGAGACAACACTGAGAAGCCACAACAGAGTCGGCCGGTGTACAATTGAAATCTTTTCTTAAAATGGGGTTTTCGTGAAATATTTTCTGCAAAAATAGTTTGAACAAAAAGACACACACCAAAGTCCTGCCATTCTCCACAAAATAAATGGAGTTGATAAGAGATTTGAGATAACAAAATTTATAGAGTTGGCGGTCAAATAGATCAGGAGTGAGGATGATATGGACTATGGTGTTGGGATATGCAATAATTAATAATTAATGTTATTAGCTGGTATAGTTTTTTTTTTTTCATTGTTGCTGCTGTAGTAGGTCAATTCGGAGCATGCAAGGACCAGATGAAATCAATGATCCTCACCAATCGCATTATACCTATGGATAGTTAAGCACATTTTGTATGCTATAGAAAAGGAATCACTGCATCTACTCTTCATTCCTCTCTCTCTCCTTTTACTTAGATCTTAATAACTTGATCAACAAGAACGTGAAGTCAACTTCTTGATCTCACTAGTTTCCAATTCAGCACCTGAGATCACATCTATTTTTGACCCTTTAAGAGTGGCAACACTGTGGTCACCATTGGCCTTACCATGACCACATTCCAATGACCTTTTCGAGATTACCCTATAAATCTCTTCCAGCAACTTGAAAAAGGCATTGTCCACATTCTCACCACTGAGAGCTGAAGTCTCAGAGAAGAAGAGGCCCTGATCCTCTGCAAACCCCACAGCATCTTCTGCATGCACTAATCTTTGGTCCACAAGGTCACCTTTGTTCCCAATGAACATGATCATAATGGAGCTGTCTGCGTGTGCAAGAAGTTCCTCAACCGACCTAGCTACATGTTCAAACTTCAAACGACTGTCTTTTAGTTATATCGTACACCAGCATGGCCCCTAATGCACCTCTATAGTATGCACTTGTCACTGCCATGTACCTTTCCTGGGCAGCAGTATCCCAGATCTGAGCTTTGATGACTTTGCCATTAATTGTGACAGCTCTTGTCTAGAACTCAACTCCAATGGTGGACTTTGAGTCAAAGCAGAATTGATTCTTTGCAAAACTTGACAGTATTTGAGTCTTACCCACTGCTGATCCCCAATCACCACCACCTTAAACAAATAATCTATTTTGCCATGCACATTCTCTTTCACCCACCCAGCTTCAACCCTATTCATGTCTTGATTCATTTTTTCCCAATATCACAAAGATTCAAGAAAAGAACTTCTTTCTTTCCAAAACTAGATAGGCTCTAAAACATTGGGTTCAATCTTTCCTATTGGTCGCGAAGCTAAGCAGGAGAAAGTAAAGTATATGGAAAACCTTGGAAAAACAAAAAGAAGAGGAACCAAACAAAAACAGTGTTGAATCAGTGGTAGCAAAAGAAAGAAATGGATATGGAGCCTATTTCGATGCAAGATAGATGCGGTTTTTAAAACTTCGTTACCGAAAATAAAGAGTTTTTCCAGTAGAAAAACTATAAAAACGTTTTAAAATTTGTAGCCAAACAGACTCATGCTAGTATACATTACAGAACCCAGCTGACCTTGGCAAAAATAGAATTAACTACATAAACATGAGGAAAGTTGGAAGAGAGAGGAGCTGATACCAAGTCGCGAGCGCAGGCAAAGCCGCCTTCGACCTGGACAAATTTGTCCTGACCATGTGGGGGATCACCTCGAAGTGCAAGCACATTCTGGAGGCCATTGGACTTGATGGTGTGGAGAGCATGGTCAATCTTCTCAACAGGCATGTTGGTGCAGGTGAGGTGCATCATGGTTTCCACACAGACAATGTTCTGCATCTTGTTGGCAATTTCCAATGTTAGATCAGCCGTTGATCCTCCAGCACCCCAAGTGATATCACAAAACGAGGGATTGTGAGCCACCATGCGCTCCATTCTCTCAAACAGATTGTCCACCCCATCTTCAGTCTTCGGCGGGAAGAACTCGAATGAGAACACCACCCTGTTTGGATCAGCCGAGTGAATTTTGTCTATAACCTTCATCTTTATCCCTCAAGCAGTAGATCAGCTGGATCCAACACTCAATCCTAAAACATATTCATCATTCATTAGAAAAATCATAAGCAACCCATCCTTAGCCTGTATAATACAGTAGGTGAGATTTCAGCCCAATTGGAAAGGGAGTTGTGAGTTCTGGATCGGAATTATGAACATTTTTTTTTAACTCTACCATTATTAACAAAGGAAACCAAAACTTGAAAGGAACGAGAGTAATAGTCGTACCTTGTGAGGTGAGGTAGGGAGAGACAACCGAAGCGCACGATAAAAGGAGCAGAAATCTGGTTATTTATAGACGAAACGAGACAAAGGTAGATCTGTGAGTGAGGAAATGAGGATGATGGATAGTAAGGTGGTTGGTGGCTACTGGCTACCGGATACTGGCCAGTAATTCAAATTTTCTTCACACGGGTTTTGTGAGTGATGCCACAATTTTCCACATCAATTATGGAGAAAAAGTTGGAGCTATTCTTTTTTCATCGTTTCCATTAATATGGGTTCGGCTAGCATTGTCTTTGAAATAAATAAATAATAATATTTGAAGCAATAACAATAATATTAAAAAAAAATTGTCAAGTATCATTGCAGCACATGTATTAAGTAAAGTGAAGTAAAATCAGGAATTTGAATCCTATTTTGTGTACGGTAAATATTTTAAAGACAAAAAAAAGATAGAGTGAAGTTACTATAACTTAGTAATTATAAATAATTAAAATTAACTTTGTATTACAATATAAATTATTTATTATAAATTTAAAATATAATTTATATTTTTAAAAATATTTCTTTATTATAAATTTTAATTATAATATGATTTATATGTTTTAAAATATTTATTATTAATTATAGTTATATAAAATAGATATTTATCATGTATATTACATATATTACAATATTAATTTAAATTATAGTTTTTATAATTATTTGAATCAATTCATTTTTTTTATTCATAATTTATATCATATAAATTTTACATGATTTTAATTTTCATATTCTATTAATATAAACAAAATATTATTGATTAATTATAAATTATTTTTATGTTTAATTTTTAAAATAATTATTATGAAAGATAATTATTATACATAATTACTCTTGCATATAAGAAAACCTATTTTGAAATAAGACATTGGGCATGGTTCCAAAGGGAGATCTTTCTCGTTCATATTAGGTGCAGGATTGGTTGTGTCAAATGTGAACAAGGAGAATCATCTCATATTAGAATTACGTTAGGCATGAGTTGAATGGCATCAGGTGTGAGATGAGAGGCTTGTCTCTACCTGAGTTTGCATCGAGCATTAAAGAGTGTGGCATCGGGCGTGAGTTAGGCAAAGAGTTTTCTGTCTAATCAGGATTGGGCGTGGATGTTGCCACGCTAGGCATGAAAGTGTGGGGCACTCCTTACCTCAATCACACCTAGCACAAGTGGTGTGACGTCGGGCGTGGGCATGATAGGGAACTCCCTCCCTCAATGACGTTGGATGCCTAATAATAGGTGTCGGGCACAAATTGAAAGATTATAAGTTGTTATTCAATGATGGTCTATAGTTGATTGAAGGTGAATAAGTTGTATGGTGAACGATTGGTTGTTGAAAGTTGTTTTACTATTGATAAATAATGAACTAGTTATGTAAGTAAGATGATATATTTGTTGATGGTGGTAACTTGAATATGTTGCAAAGTTGTAAGTCATTTTAGTTGTAACACCCCAGTTTTTATAAATTATATTAATAATACGCTAGTATTTATTTTAATGTTTTAATGTGTTTATTAAAAAGATTTTTAATATTATTTAGCTATTTGATATGAGCTTTATTTTTATATAAAAATGTTATTTTTATATAAAAATATGTTATTTTTACTAAAAGGGAGAAATATATTTTATATTATTTATCTATTTTATGGGAGCTTTGTTTTAATATAAATCATGATTTTAATTAATATTTGATTATTTGATGTAAGACACATTTTTATGAAATGTATTTTATTAAAGTTAAACATATGTTATTTTGTATTAAAAAAGAGAAAGTGTATTTTGATTGTTTCTAATTGTTTTATGAGAAGAGGGAAAGATGTAATGGTCTTTTGTAAATTATTATTTTTATTTTTTATTTTTTTTAAGAGAGAGAAATTAACAGAAGTTAAGGGAGTTGTCAGGAGTTTTATATTTCACGTTTCTTACTCATTTCTCATTCCTTCTACGCTCTTTGAAAACTCACGAGAACCATGAAGAAGAGATCACTAGAGAATTGTACACACTTCATCTTCTGTTCATCCAGCTAAGGGAGAGTGAGAAACCTCACTTAGAGGTGTGAAAATAATTATTGGGTAGTTGGATTAACTCCCAATCCCTTGTCTAATGTGTGCGTATAGGAACATACACTTTATAAAAGTTTTCTGTTTTGTTTTTTGATTGTTCTATTGCGTTCCTTGTGTGATTCTAAGTGTAAATATATGTTCAATTTCGAGAATAGATAAGTTTTGATATGGATTAGAGTGCTTCATGGGTTCCTACGGGAAACCCTATGAGAAACAAACAAATTTTGAACGTTTTCTGTTTTGGCTTCTGAATTTTTTTGTTGTGTTTTCTGATGATTACTGAGCATGAATGTATGTTTAATTTTGAGTTTGGATATGTTTTGATATGGATTAGAGTGTTCTATAGGTTCTTTTGGGAAACCTATGAGAAACGGACAAATTTTGAATATTTTCTGTTTTAGCTTATGAGTTTTTCTATTATGTTCCCTGATGATTACTGAACATGAATGTATGTTTAATTTTAAGATTGAATATATTTTGATATGGATGAGAATGCTTTATGGGTTCCTATGTTAAACCCTATGAGAAACAAGCAAAATATGAATATTTTTTTGTTTTGATGTTTGAGTTTTCTATTGTGTTCCTTGATGTTTGTTGAGTGTGAATATGTGTTTAATTTTAAAAATCAAAAATTTTTAAGCCATGGTGTGAGAACTGTCTTATTATTGTGTTAATGCAAGTGATGTGTTTCTATGAGCATGATGAGGATTGGAATCTCTTATATGACCTTGTGACTATGAGTATGATAATGTGATATGAGAACAAGTGACATGATGAGATATGACAAGTGAAATGTTGAGTCCATGAACATGAGAATGTCTGACATGCATCATATGCATCTATGTGATGAGGTACGATATAGAGTACATCGTTAGGGAAGGCCCTTCGGGTGAAACATCTTGGAGGAGTCCTAGGGATAGCGCGGTTTGGAAGACCCAGTTTTGCCCGTTTGTGTGCATGGGACGTATCTTGCACGACTTCGCTATCCTGACGAGATCCTAGCAGTACATCCTTCTAGTTGAGAGTGCACGGTTGAGACTGCATGTCCTCCTAGACTATTCTAGGTGTGTTGCTTCGGCAGCATACCACGTAATATGTGATTATGAGATACGTGACTGGCGCCACATGCATGCATTTATGAGTCGAGTCCATGGCATCATTGCATGATAAGTGATTGTGCATGTGTTACTGGTTTATGTATGGCTTGTATGTGTGCCTTGTTTGTGATTGCTTTGTGTGTGTGTGTTATCTGACAATTATTTTTGGACTTGAACCGAGTAAGACGTTTCTCATTCCCTTCTTTGTTCTTGTGTGTGTTTCCCTTTATGCTTGTAGGTGACTTTCAGCCTGACACTGATGAATTCCATGATGATGCTTAGGTGCGAAGCTCTTATTAGGATATGTGACACCATGGGATAGATTAGAACATTTTATTTGGTGATTTGAATTTCTTATGATATTAATTTGTGATTTTGGATATAGTTATTTATTTACTTAAATTACCTTGATATTTAATTTACTTTATTATGAAAACGTTTAAGATGTGAATATGAGCATTTTACCCTTATGTGCTTAGAGACTTTATTTTAATTATGAAAATTTTATGTTATATTCATTGTATAATTATGTGTGGGATAGAGGGTGTCATATTAGTTGTTTAAGTTGATTTTGATGTTGTCTACTCAAGTTGTGAATGATTGCAAAGATATATGTTGTTTACATTGTTTAAGTTGTATGTTGTTAAAGCTGCGAAGTTGAATGTTGAAAGATGATAAAGTTGTTAAGCTACATGTATGTGGGTTAGATGCATATCATTGCTATGATACATGGAAACTATAAGAAAGTTAAAGATGTTTTCGAACTTCATATCTCATTCTGTGAATATATGTTGCAGTGCTCCGAGAGCTCGATTAAACCCTTCAGTAGGTAAGTTAGCCTCTAAATGAGTAAGTTATTTTTAAGTTTTCTCCTCTAGTTTCTATGTGGTATCCATGTGTGAATAAAGTTGAGACACATGTATAAAACAACCAATTGGGTAAAGTACTGGGTCGGGGACATAGTATCTAACCTAGTATTAAAGGGTTGTGGTATTTGGAGGATCGTCAGTAGACTAATCTCATAAGTGACTTAGTTTTGCAAAGTAATGTCATGGTAGACCCATGCCCAAACTGTTCTATCCAAAAATAGTACTATACTTCCTTGTTTAAGTGATGAAACTTGATAAATCGATCTAACTTATGTTAGTCGTTGTTTTTAGCCTTGTGCTAGCCATTGTTTTTGGCCTTAGTGTCAACCATTGTTTTTAGTATTACACTAGTCATTTTGATTCGATAGGGTCAAGTCATTTGAATTGTTCACCATAAGATGTAAGAGATCTCCATAATTGATATGCGTGACAACACATTAGATGATGTAAATATATGTATGTTGATGTGATGAATATGTTATGAGTTGTTAAGTTGCTACGATGATGATGTTGTTATGTTATAAGATGAAATATTTTAATATGAAGATGTTTTATAAGCTGTAATATTGAATTCTTTTCACTAACTTACCATGTATTTTCCTTATGGTTGGAACTATGATAATCATACGTTGTATGAGAATAGGACAAGATTAGCGGCATGATTTGTACTATTGGAGACTAGTCATGCTGAAGGTGGCTGGTTTTGACTGTTGTAGGTTTATGTAGTAAGGTCTTCTATAGATGATGATCAGTTTTTAGGTTTATTTTGCAATTAGTATTATATTGTGTATATAGTATGTATATATTTGATACCAATTACTAGTTGTATTATAAACTTTAATTTTGATGTCGTTTAATCGTTCACTACGTTGTAGATGTTTAGTAACAAGTATGACGACCAATCAAATCATTAGATATAACGTCTTTATAATTAGATTTAAATACCTAAATTAATATATTACAATTAATTTTTAAAAATATAAATATAAATTATAATAAATAGACGCTATTATACTAAGAACATATAAGACAAATTAAAAAATATATGGAATTGATAAAATTATTTTTTATAATATTTTTATATTTAATAAGGTTTTAATGTATTAAATAATTAATATAAATATTTA